TAAAACATGACCGTGAGACTTAACTGCTAACCGCTAAGTTAAAGAGTAAGAAAATGGCTGTTTGTATTTAGACTTTAGAGACATGGGTTCTTTTTTGTCAGCTAATCTGGATCTTTTGCTGGGGAATCTGTGATTCATGTAGGGTCTTCTACAGGGAATTCCACTGTATACAATACCACAGCATCTATGATTCTATGATGTAAGAGGAAGAACATACACAGAGGGGAGATGTGCAGCAGCCACCAGAGTAACAGACTGAGGAGAGAATCGAGTGGAGGGAACAGAGAGTGAGAAGTTGAGAGGAAGTCACTGATGCTCTGTGCCCAGACAGATTGCCTTGGGTTGCAGTTTGGTGTTTTGATGTGTGACAGATGGTCGGTTTCAGCCTGGGGTATATTTTTAGTAGGTTTTGGCTCTGTGACAGTTTCACTTAATAAAACCTGACCTGAGGAAGAAAACGTGGTTTGTTATTGGGTGTCAGTTTGTATCCTTTTTCTGTCGGGGGGGGTTTAGTACTTTATATCATCAACATAAACAACAGAGATTCGGTTTGATGAGGGCAAAGGGATTTAATAGCTGTGTATGCATGCATACTGAAATATTCCAGCTTAAATATATCTACGTATTTCCCAAAGGCTTTTCCATTATGTCAAAAAAATCTACAAAAAGTCTTTCACACTGACGTTGATGTTGCTGTGTTTATGCTAATTTGCACACCAGCCTCTGTCTGAAAGATTGATGTGCAGATACAAAACAAGCTGTGGAGAATTCATAATTGACTGGCTTTCATACTGATACCACTTTACATACGCTAGCTCACAGACTGCAGCCAGCCAGGATCATCGGGAGTCGTGTAATGTCAGCGTGATTCATCTCTGCCAATCAATAAATCGTTGTAGCTCTTCACATTTTAGTAGCCCATGACCCAATTATGAACGACTGGATTATTAACCCTCGTCCTACAGACATATTTTACACATCTGGATACGAGGAATACTTCGCCTTAAGGAGCAAATATAAAGGGTGTGTAAAACTGAACCTGATCATGGAAATGGGCTTAAATCACAGAGAGATGCTGAAGGAGGGGAAACCCCAAATAAAAGTGTAATAAGAAGTCTGAAGAGAGTTTAAATTCAGTCAGTTCTGCAGCTGTGTAGTGAAACCTCATTTATACTCTGACCTTATAAGAATTTCAAAGAATCTCTTCTTTAGATCAACGACAGTCATGTTCTCAACGTTTATAGTTGCTTGGAAAAGATTTCAAAGTTAAAACTGTAACGAAACAGAACAGGGACTTCACTGGGGTTGTGTTTGAATGATTTTCTGATTATTTCTTCTTTTTGTTGTTGTGAGATGGATTTATATTTTTCTGAAGTTTACCTCAAGGTAGAGCTCCACATCTCTGTAACAGTCTGTACCAGGAATGTGACCCAAAACAACGGTGGTGGAGCTGGAAGATGAGGACAAGATGAAAAGTGTGAGAGAGACAGAGGGGAATACTGATGAGTGCACAAGTCGTCCTGAGTCCTGAGGGGGGAGAGAAACAGACAGTGGAACCTTTTAAACCATATAAAAGTATGTGAAGCAATGACTTTGTGAAAACATAATAAATGTTGGCAGGGACTTCTGGATTTTCACTCCAAAATAAATACGGTGATCATTTTTTTTCTTTTGGTCCAATATGCTCCATGTAAGGTTTGTAAAATCACATTCACTGACTGTTGTGTCCTGTAAAGGAGTGTGACCAGAGAGAAGACGACAGCCACAGCCAGACCCAGATCCAGGTTAAAAATGAAGGTGGATGTCAGTGACACTATCCACACGAGCTAAAGGAACGCAGGGAGAGGAGAGGGAAAATTTCTGGATCAGTCCCGGAATGGTGTTTGTAGCTGTTTCTGTGCTATGATTATTGATGTGTGTGTGCCAAGCCCACCAGGTCTAATCTGTCAGATTTCCAGAGCAGACGCACATCTCTGAACTGAGCCAGTATGCCCTGAAGGTTCACCACGATAATCACTGCCAGCACTGCCTGGTACACACAGCAAACCATTACCCAACATTGGCTTAGACACGTGAATCACCCTGGCGATCGTTTCCATGCTTTAGGGAAAGTAAAGGTGCCTGCAGAACTGCAAACACAAACTTCTGCGGCATTTGTTTCCATTACAACAACAGTGGATTGCTTTGTTGTCTCATTCTCTTAGCGTTACGAGACATTGATTCACCTCATTTCATGTCCTGTAATCACGTGTAAACTTGCCAGAAAGAAGTTCTTACTTATCATCAAAATAATACTAAAAACTTTAAATATTCCATTTCTCTGTTGCTGTCTGGAAAATGTGACTGCCATGGGTGAGAGTCTGGTGATTTGAATTCTAGCTGTAAGAACTTGTATAATAAACATTAATAATAATACCTGTTATGTTAGATTTGCTTTACCTTTGGCAGCTGCTCAAAGAGATAACCAATCTCCAACAAGACTGTCAGAATCAACAGAGCTGACACCAGACCAGCCATCTAAGAATATGAACAAAAAGAACACCGCAAGCAAAGAAGAAAAATGACTTACAGCACATTATGAGACTCATAACGTTTTAGTAGGTGCTATTTTAGCCTGATTAAAAATGTGTTTAGCTGAAGGGAGCTGGACTTCTGAAAAAGATAATTGACCTGTGTTTTGACACCGATGCTTTCCTGGATGGTGCTGCGAGAAAAGGAGCAGCTGACAGCAAAGCACTGAAACATCCCTCCAATGGTGTTACACAGACCCAGGGCCAGCAGGTCCTGAGGCAGGGACATACAGCTGAGTCCACATCTTTAAATGGCTAAATGACTAGCTACATCACATTTATCACTTATATTTGATTTCTACATGTTCTGTATCTACAGTACATCACTCTACTCTTCCTTTTTGCCCTGCCCTGGGATGCACGGGCAGAAAACTCTGACTTACTCTCAGTCGTCTCTACAGCAGATTTAACAATGAGGCTAAAAAAGGAAGTAGTTGCAGTGAATTGTTCAAAGAAGATTCATCCAGGAAAGTCAGACTAACTTCAAAAAAAGAGTTTGAAGGGAATCAAAGCTTGCGTCATCACTGAGGTTCAGCAAGTGTGCCTACATTTGCAGAAATCTCCAGAAGGCACTGGAAGTGCAGTTTCATTAAAACACCTTTAATTACCTTCACTTCTCTCAGTTTCTCTGCACAATATTGAAACAAATAACAGAGTATGTATTTTCTGATCTGAGTTAAACTGTTATTGGGGTGAATGTACCTGACTCGGGTCCACACAGTAGCCATGTTTGTTGGCAAACATTGAGCCCATGGCTGAGAGGAAACTGAAGCCAATCAAAGCCATGGACAGAGCTGGAATGAAAAGCTCTCTGGACTGAGACAAGGAGGGAAGAGCTGGGGGAGACAGGCTGGAGAGGAGCAGGAGGAGGAGGAGAGGTTCTTTGACTCAGTGACTAAGATATTATTAAAAGGAAAGAAATTATTATATACAGTATTATAAAGAATTATGACTACCTTGTGAATTATTCATCATAACACAGCATTTTCTTAAAGCTGTCAGGTACAATGTGACAAAGCTAGCAGCACATTTGCAATATGACAACAAAAGCATGAAGAACTGATACTTTTCTTCTCATAGAAATATTTGTGAGCTACAGTTTAGATGTTATGTGTCATTTTCTTTGCATGATATTAACACTTTAAAGCTAATAGGTAAATAAAAGCAGTATAATGTCTTTTTCTGCCATAAATCTACTTGACTCATTTTGAGTTAGAGAGAATTACATTTTTCTGGAGTCACATTAAAATGATTCATTTCAGACCATTATTCTAAAAGGGTTTTTCAGAGTCTTTCTGTTGCTTTTGTGTTGGAGGGAATATTACATTTGACAGTTAGAAGTTAGCATTTCCAGCTTGACAATCATTGACAATCGTGACTATTAGATTTTTTTAAAAAAAAAAAGAAGAAAAAAGAAAAAGCAAATCTAAATGACTAAAGCAAACAAATAATAACCCAGTTCTACTGACCCACTGGGTATGTGTCCCACCACCTGGACTCTGTGCTGTCCAGCCAGATCCATCTGTACTGACAGGAGGGTGCTGAGAACAATCTATGAGAGAAAAGCAGTGGAAGTGACATTTTCTGCACTGAATGTTCACTTTGGAAAAGAAGAATATAAAGTAATCTGCATCCTAATATCACATAAATCGGTCAGTTCAAGTACACACTGACATAAACAGATATATGATCAGAGTCTTGTCTATTAACTGATAAAACTAGCCTTTGTCTTAAAGCTTTTCCCCTATGATATACTACAAAACCTACAATTGTATATAACTGAAAACATGAAGCATAAAAAACAGATCAAATGTCCGGAGTTCTTTTGCATGCAGTATGTTTTTTACCTCTCTCGCTCTCTTTTTTTGTTATAAAATTAAATAGCTGTGTAATTACACAGCTGTAATTACATAAAAAAAAAATGTTACAGTAATCCTAAATTGGAATCTTTAAATTACTTGAAGAACTGAGAAGCAGTAAAAACAAACAAATTCAATTCTTATCAACACATCAGACAAGAGAATGATGATTAACCAGTGTCCAGGTGCACATATTTGCTGTATGTGGAGAATCGTGGCTTTGGAGATTAAAAACAGATTATTATATAATTATGAGTCATTCATCAGTTCATCACCGTGGCATCTGTCCATCTGGGTGCATCTTATGGACATGAGTCTACTGTTTATGTGTTTGTGTGTGTGTGTGCATGTGTGTGTGTCGGTGTGTGTGTCACCAGTATAAGCTCCCATGGTATGGCGACAGGCAGTTTGTTCTTAAACCGCTCATTCAGCAGTTTGCCTCCGATGAGCATCACCAAAGAAACCAAAGAGACTAACAGAGTTCCTGTTACAGCATTGGTCACTCCATACAGAACATCTATGAAAGTCTGCAAGACACACACACACACGCACACACACACACACGCACACACACACACACACACACACACAGAGTTATCCCATGATTTGCAAGATTCAGGAGAAACCCTTCCTCTCTGAAGGTGGAACCAAACGGCTCACACTCATTGAAGTGGCTGACTAGCACTACTGTGAAAATGGAAAATGTTGCATTAGTCCTTCCAGCTGCACTTTCAAATTATAGGACCTGCTTTAGTAACGCAGCAGGAAACTGCATTTCCTCTTACGGCCACCTGAGGCAGCTCCAAAAGAATATACTCACATGTCGAAATGCCCAACTAAATGGTTTTCACATTTTCAGATTCATGTGCTCTAGTGCACATCAAACCTTACAGTTCAGTGGCCCTGGAGGAAATCAACCACCTGCAAAGTGCTGAGAAAACACCCTGACACTTAAGAAGTGCAATGCTGTCAGTGTAGAGGTGACACGATGTGTCTTTGAAGGTGTTTAATTTGCACCACGTAGTGCCAAAGAAAAAGAAATCAATTTACAGCCACGGCCCATGCAGTTAGGAGGTATCATTAGATTATTTCTTTATTCCTGATATAAAAAAAAAAAAGGTCACAGAGAGGTTTTTTTTACACAAAATCTAGAAAAAAAGCTGATGCTTTCCACTGTTTCTTGTTTCTGGGCTTACTTATTTCAGCTCAAAGGCGGCATGCATGTGCATGATAGTGCAGATGTTTCAACTGACCCTAGGTAAAGCCAGCAGTCCAGTATGTTTCTGTACTGGTGCTCCTGTCATTAGCGGCAGCTGTACGATGATCATGTGCAGGCCGACTGCTGTGGTGTAGGCTCTGATTACATGATCCGACAGCCAGCGGCACACAACACCTCCCCGCAGCAGGTACAAAATGAGCTAAAGACACACAAACGCAGACGCAAGAAGGTTTAGTATTTCCATTTTGACTGAGTGCCACTCTAGTCTTAATTAATTAAAAATAAATGAATGGTAGTTTACAAAATATCAGAATCACAATTCTGGACGTGTGTGTGTGTGTGTGTGTGTGTGTGTGT